GGCCCAGCCTCAGACATGTTCCATAGCCCAGGCTGGTTTGTGGCCAGGGGATGGTCTTAGTGAGAGAGGGGGCAGAGCGGGGTCAGTTCAGTTTGAGACACCTCATGGGGAAGGTGCCTTCCCTCCTCCTCTGGGGAGTATTTGGGGGTGGGCCCTGCCCTCTCCTTCCCTCCCGAGGGACCCTCCCTCTTCCCTCCACACAGACTTCCTCTTGTCCTGCTTCTGAGGAGGGCAGGGCTCAGCCTTGGGACCCTTTCCATTGGTTTCCCTTTCCTTCCACACTCACAGGCCTTCCCTTTCCTTCCTTCCTTTCTTCCTTCCTGGTCTAACAGGCTATTTATTTATTTATTTACTGCGCTTATATACCGCAATTACTACTACATTCCGAAACGTCTCATCGTCAAGCCACAATCCGATATCATTCCGCTGTTCCATTCCTATGGTCACTTGCCAGTCATTGCACTTATTGATCAAATGCCTTCTTAAATATCCAGGTCTTTAACTTCCTGCGGAATATTAGCAGGGAGGGGGCTAGCCTGATGTCCACGGGAAGGGTGTTCCACAGCCGAGGAGCCACCACCGAGAAGGCCCTATCTCTCGTCCCCACCAGCCGTGCCTGTGAGGCAGGCGGGATCGAGAGCAGGGCCTCCCCGGAAGATCTCAATCTGGGCTTCTTCCTCTTGCAGATAAACAGCTTTGTCCTCACAGAGCCTCCTCTTCACACCAAACTAACATACAAGCTTCACACAGTAGATTGACACCCGAGGCCTTCAGCCTGGGGCTTCTCTCACTCTGAGGCCTTCTCACACTGAGAAGAGTGGTTTTAGTGATAGAGAGGAGAGAGCAGTGTCAGTTCAGTTTGAGACACCTCATGGGGAAGGTGCCTTCCCTCCTCCTCTGATTAGGGAGTATTTGGGGGTGGGCCTTGCCCTCTCCTTCCCTCCCGAGGGACCCTCCCTCTTCCCTCCACACAGACTTCCTCTTGTCCTGCTTCTGAGGAAGGCAGGGCTCAGCCTTGGGACCCTTTCTATTGCCTTCCCTTTCCTTCCTTCCTTCCTTCTTGGCCTAACAGGCTATTCCTGGGCTTCTTCCTCTTGCAGATCAACAGCTTTGCCCTCACAGAGCCTCCTCTCACACCAAACTGACACAGGAGCTTCACACAGTAGATTGACACCTGAGGCCTTCAGCCTGGGGCTTCTCTCACTCTGAGGCCTTCTCACACTGAGGCCTGCTAAGCTACAGGTCCAGCTGCCTATATTGAGCTGTATCCATTCAACCAATATTTCTGACACAGAGAGAGAGAGAGAGAGAGACTGAAGGGGAGCAGAACAGGAGCCCAGCCCAACAGGGAGGGAGGGAGGGAGGGAGGGAGGGCCAGGCTTGTGGATGGGGCTGAGTGGTCCTTGGGTGAGAGTGTGGTCCATCTCCAGCCTGGCTGGCCTCCCTCTCTCCCTCCCTCTCCCTCTCTCTCTCTGAATGGCAGGAGTGCGCAGCAGCATCCGCCAGAGGGAGCCTCAGCCCGGAAGGCGCAGGGGGCGGGTCTGCCTGGAGACTGGTGACGCGGCCAGCGGAGGCCCATTTCCATTGGCGCATCCAAGGAATTCTCTTCAGGAGAGGCAGAAGAAGGAAGGAAGGAAGGAAGGAAGGAAGGAAGGAAGGAAGGAAGGAAGGAAGGAAGGAAGGAAGGAAGGAAGGAAGGAAGGAAGGAAGGAAGGAAGGAAGGAAGGAGGAGTTTCTGCCCGGAGACCGGTGACGCCGGAGAGGAGGCGAATTCCTATTGGCGGGCGCTGAGCCTTTGCAAGAGAAGGAAGGAGGCGCTCTTGCTCCTGATTGGCCAGTGCCGCCATGAAGCCCCGCCTCTCTCTGGGCGCGCAGTCCCCGCGCGGCAGCCATGTTTGGTCTTGGCGGAAGCCCAGCGAGAAGGGCCGGCCTCCGTTTCCTAGAGAGGCTCGGGAGGCTCGGGCGAGGAGGCCTTTCTTTCCCGTGAGGACGGACAGAGAGAGAGAGAGAGCGAGAGAGAGCGGGAGGAGGAAGGGGAGGAGCCAAGGCGGGGCGGCGCCTGAGGGCGTGTGCTGTGGCAGCCAGCAAGGCCAGCTGTGCCCAGAGGAGGCTTCGTGGTGTCTTCGCCCAAGGAAGCCACGGCCTCCCTTCTCCTGCTTTGCTCAGGCCTCGCCTGCCATTGGATGTGCCCGCCCTTCTCTGCCATTGGTTAGTGAGAGGCGGTGGGGAAAGAGCTACTTAGAAGGGATGTTTGAATGAAATGTTGGTTAATTCCGGTGGGGCAGCATGATGGGGTCAGGCTGGGTGGCCTTTGGGGTCCCCCCGCCCCCCAGACTCCCCCCCTTCCTTCCTTCCTTCCTTCCTTCCTTCCTTCCTTCCTTCCTTCCTTCCTTCCTTCCTTCCTTCCTTCCTTCCTTCTCTGGAGGGTTTAAGTGCAGGCTGGATGGCCATCTCTAAGGAGGGATCGGACGGTGCCTTCCTGCTTGACGGAAGGGGGTTGGGATGGATGGCCTCGAGGGTCCCGCCCATCTCTCTCCTGCCCTGACCACCCAGTGGGGGGGGCTCCTCCTTCATCCTCGGGAGGTCTCTCAGCAGAGGCCGGGTGGGCATCTGTCGGGAGGGCTT